CCCCCGGCTATGGGCCCCCCAGGTCTGCCCCTGACTCTTGCAGCCCCAGCGCATCCAATGCCCACACATCCAACCCCTTGCCCTAAGCCCCCCACCCCTGCCCCAACTCTAGCACTCCCCACCCTCTTCCCCAAGCCCCACACACAGCCAAACCCCTCTCCTGACCCCTGCATTCTTATACAGCCCTTTGTTGACCACTTGTTCTGAATTTTGATGTAATTAGACTGTTTGGTTTGAAAAGGTGGCAACCCTTGATGTATAGTGAGAAGTATACAATGACCTCCAATTTTTTTTTATATTGGTCAAATAAAGCACAAATGTTGATATTTTGGAATCTTTTAGAACTGTATAGTACAAAACAACCTGACTTAATTTTTATCACAGGCATAATTATTATGCTAATATTAATTTAAAAGATTTGATAAATTTGTTCTCTCAACTTTCATATTTTATTGTTAGATTAAAATTCTCAGACCAGAAAGTTTAAATAGTGCAGTGCGAGAGTTTGTTACTGAGAAATTAGGAGCCAGATATCTTCAGATTGGAGGGATTAACTTGAAAGAAGTGTATGAAGACTCCAATGCCAGCACTCCATTAATACTTATTCATTCTCATGGTGAGATACTTATAAACTAAGAGGAAGCACAAAACACCGGGTTTATGAAGCATTATTTTTCAGATTCTAGCTTTGTTTTTTTACATTCAGTAGGTTGTCCCTGCTTCCTAGATTGTTCCAACTTTTGCATTCATGTTATCCTTGTTTCCTGTTAAACTGAGCAAAATCACAGGAAGATGGAGGATTGTGGGGGATGCTCCTTGTTACTCCACCAGTACCTCTGACCATGGAACTCTACTCAACCTTCAGATTTCCCTTTAACAGTGGGTTCCAAGGTAGCTGCTAGCAGGGGAAGACCTGTTCGTTGTCACTAATGAGAGAGTTAAGGAATCAGGAGGCAGCACAGAGTTACAAAGCCAGACCTTATATGGATTTTCCAGAGTTGTTGTCCTTCTAAACTGCCACTACTGGTTTTTCAAGAGGTCTGAGTGATCTGGCTCTATATTACTTGTGCAGGATTTGAAATAACACTAAATTAACTTAACCAAAGATAAGTAGTCATTATACTATTCAGTATCATTTGCTGTAATAGTTAACATTGTAAGAAATTCTTTAACTAATATAATCAAACTATCATTCTTATTCATCAGTGTGTCGATGCATTCCTCTGATAATTTAACATAACATAACCCGTTTTTCTTCACCCCATGATGCCCTTATAAAATGTATCCACATTTAGTGCAGATATGGTAGTTAATTTATGGTCAAAATAATAACAGAGTACTGTTCCTATAAGTGAGGTAATTAAAGATATAACATGTTTTTAAATATGTAACTATAAAGATGTTTTGGCTGCATAAATACATTCTATATTGTTAAACAGGAACAGACCCAGCAGCCCAGCTTCTGCGCCTTGCACAGGAAATAAAAGGAAACACACAGCATGTGAAAATGGTTTCTTTGGGACGTGGTCAGGGAACCAAAGCTGAAGATTTGATACATAAAGCACAGTTATTTAGTGGACAATGGGTTTTCCTCCAAAATTGCCATCTTGCGACATCATTTATGCCCAGGCTTAGTGATATTGTTGATTCGTAAGTGTATTATTTGTATTCAAAATATAAATTAAGTTATAAGCTTAATCTAGTCAAATATGAAGTAATCAATATAAATGCAAATAGCAGTCTTTTAACAGAATAAGTATGAATAAAGTATCAGAAGAGGAACTGGAAAAAGTCTTCTGTTACTATTACTATATTCTACTCTTGGCCAACAATATCCATTGGACAGTTCCAACAACTTGTGTATCCTTATTTTCCCCTCCAGAAGACATAGAGGAGAGACAAACCAACCTCCGTTGGTTCCTTCATAACCCCCAGGGCTGAGAGACATAGTTGAAGATAGTCTTTGTGGCTTGCCCACTTGTGATTGTCAATACAATAATTTTGCATATAGTTACATTTAGTGTGGATATAGTAGTTAATTTATGATCATTAGGTTTCCATTCTGCATAGGTTTTTCTCTCTCTTTTAGTTACATGGTACCAGGCTGCAGATCTTACAGCTAAGCAAAAATCACCAGGTTTAGGATGCAGAAATAGACCAAAAAATCTGTTAGTTACATCTTCCTTTTTTAGGCTTCGAGTCCGGTGGCTATACCCTTCAATGACAGTCATATTAGATGTCTGTTTGTCTGAGTGAGTGATATCTTACCAACAAATGCTCTATTTGTTGGTCTTTTTCCAAAAGAACTCAAAAGTAAGGGAGGTTAGTTAAATAGGTGCCTACTAGACAAGCCAAATTCCTTGGTGGTGGAAGTGGCACATCAACGTGGCAGGCAACAACACTTCCAATCAACCCCTGTTGACAATGATAACAAAAGATTAGATCTTTTTCGATATAAAGTCTTTGCAGTTCAGATCTTTCTGGATGTAAAGTCTACGCACCATACTGTTCAGAATTTTAAATTATTCTGCACTGCTAGTCACATATGACCATAAAAACTATACCAAGCTCCTGGACTTTGCTGAGGACATATCTGTGGCCAAAAGACCACAGTATAAGGCTATAGTCTCTGAGGACAAGACTATCATCTTCACAGCCTTAGAGGCAACACTCAATGTGGTGGACACCATGGCCAGATCCATGGGAATTGTAGTAATAATGTGGAGAGCCTCTTGGTTTACATGTACTACATTCCCAAGAGAGATACTGTAGAGGATGTTCTGTCTGATGGGGGAAAAACTGCAGGGAGGCAGGGCAGGCAGAGGCATAGCAAGAGAAACAGCTGTGAGTGTCACTCAGCGTGGGCAGCTCTTGTACATTTCAAAGGAAGAGGTGCAGTGGGATAGCAAACGCTCCTCTTATCAACTACTTGATTAGCTGATTAATTGAAATTTAACATCTCTAGTTCTTTCACTAAGTTGCGAATTCCTGACTAGAGATTTTAACCAAGTGGAGAAAGATTGATGGCAAGCATGGATCTTTATGGGCAATCCTGTCAAAGAATCAGTTATTAATGGTCAATATTGGGTTTTCACCTTCTAGAACTACCCATATAGTGTCACCAATTTTGCAATATTAACAAGCAGTTATGATCCTCCAGGAGCTGGGGCCAGGCAGTATGCATGAAAAGTGACTATGATGGCTCCACTGGATTTGGCATTTGCAAGTGCATTATTCTTTTACATAAACAGGAAATGTTTATTCTTTCACTTTTCCCAGTCACAGAATAGTCTTCAATCATAATTGTTGGTCTTACCAAGTCCAGAAAACCACATAGGTTTCTGATTTGTCAAAGATATTGGTGTCTGCACTGTTCCGCCATATTCTGAGCTCCGGGGCAAGGCCGGCCTTAGGGAGAACAGCACCCTGGACAAAGTTGTATTTTGGTGCCCCTTGAGCTCGAGTACGTAGTAGTGTTAGTAAAAATTTCAGAAATAAATCGGTAATCTTAAAAGTTTTCATTGACACAAAATTTGATTCAATTTTATTAAAATAATAAAGTATCAAAAACTAAACATTAAACTAAACACTAAACTAATAAGAACAAATACAAATTTTCTTCATCAGAATGCCAAGATTCAGCAGGCAGCACTGTGTGCCTTTGCTGCTGCAAAGTGTGACATTGCTTGTGAAAGGCAAGACTTTCTCCATAGACGGGGGTAGAATTGGAGTCTCAGGCAATTAAGGGACAAGGCATGTCCTTGGGGAACAAGAAGGAAGCTGCTCAGTCTTTTGCTCCCCTCAGTGCAGGGCCTGCTATTGTCTCTGCCCCCGGCCAAGGGAAATATCATTGTCATTCCTTTGGCCAAGCACTTCCTTTAAGAGCTGCATGGGGAATGGATTAAATATTTACCCTAAGACAGGAGGTACACAGGGTGGCTATTTGTGAATGGCATCAGATTGTGAAATGAAATTGTGGGTGAAAAACCTGAGTTTGTCACTCACCCTTCAGTGGGGTTCTTCCTCCACAGTTTGAGCTGCTTTGCAGAAGCCCTGGCAGTGCACTTGACCCTTTTGCCTGGTGCTTGGCCTGCAGATCAAGGCAAGCTCTATGCTGACAGATGGGCCCATGGCCCTCCTGCAGTCCTCTGGCCACTCCTGACTCACTAGGGATGCCGTTTCAGATTGTAGTGAGGAGGTGAGAGGCAACTTTAACTGTGATTCCAGAGCATACTTGGGCACCTGAAATCTCTAGCCACTGTAGTGGCTACTGCTATAGTGAACTTGCCACACTCATCTGGCTAAATAGCCACATTGTTCAAGCCAACTAGCCACATTCAACTGACCAAATACCTACATGGCTAGCATGTCCCATAGGAAAGCAACTGTTTCTTCCTCTCTTAACTAACCTCTTTCTACACAGCTAAAGCAGCAGCCTTCCATCCTCCCTACTATTCCAGTCTCAACTATTTGGTGCACATGCCATTTGTTTATTTCTTTTCTCCTGGCCCCAGGCTGCCTCCAGCAAACAGGAGAGGGAGGGGAAAAGAGCTGGGAAGGCAAACCCTGGCAGAAATCTGAGTGGGGGTAATGTGAGCAAGTGCAATGCATGCCTTCACCCTCGCCCCCCTTTTCCCCCCCTTCGCCCC